CAGGTCATGACAGAGAGTTCTGACAAAATGTGGTCCACTGGAGAAGGAAATGGCAACCCCCTCCAGTATCCTTTTATTTTAAATTTTGACTCAAAAACTTTAAAATTTGAGCCTTGAAATACATATATCTGCCTATATCTATCTGCTGTATTAGCTGAAGAAATGTATTTTATGAATAACTGAAATTAGTTATAATCCTACTGCTATAAGGTCCTAACATTTGAACCTTTTCCAGTACATTTTGAAAATATTCTATAGTGCCTATGAAAAAGTTTATATTCTGATTTGTTCTGGAAATTAGAAAACAGTATTTTTAACACATTTAGACAATGCTGTCAGACACAAAACCACATTCAAGTAATTGGGGAAAGATCAATGGAATAATAAAATAATCATGGATCTTTATCTCTATTCTGTGAATAACTTGTGAATTCTTTTCTTTCAGGTCCAGCAATAGCCATTCTTATGCTCCTAGGGAATCTTAATAGCTGTGTTAATCCATGGATTTATATGTACTTTTGTGGTCAAATCCCAAATTGCTCGAAAAAGACCCTTCATACCCGGGCACCTCAGGAACAATCTACATTTACTTGCAGCATCTACCTGGGAGAAAAAGAATCTGAAGACAACACCACACCTGTGTAATTAGGATTTTTTAAAAAACGTTATTGTAGTCACATTTCTAAAGTGAGTGACGGCAACAAGTTATTTATAGTGTATGCATATTTTTACTCTTTTTAGAAGGAAAGTCAGGATCAAAACTATTTTACTCTTTTTAACAAGAAGAATTCATGAAAATACTTGTGTCCATCTCTCAGGCTCACACATAATTAGGTCCAGTGAAATATTGTTTTACACTTTTGTCCTGGAAGAAGGCAGTGACAAATCACTTCTGTATTGTTGTCATAAACACTAGATAGATGTGTTCATGTAGTCATCTGGAATCAAGCTTGACTCAAGAAAGTTCTTACTTTTTTTATATTTCTACAAACAGGAACTCTTAGGGACTTTTCCAGAACTTTTTTTTAATGAGAAAGTACTGCAAATATACATATTTGGATTTGTTCAAGCACAGAGTAGCAAGGAGGCAGTGTCCACCTCGAAAATTAGCAGCATGATTGGTGTCCCTTTCCAAATGGCTTCTTGATGGACAGCTTGTTTTTTAGCTTATGTGAACAGTCATTTTAAAATTCCAATAGTAGTGTGCAAAATTGGTAATATTTGTACAATATGAGTTAATGTATATAGTCATATTTTCTCCAGTCTAGAAGATTCCCCCCCCCCCATTATCTGTGTTTAAAGGAACTGAGTTTGCCTCCTCTAGTTTAAAGGAGCTGAGTTCAGGTTTGGATTGTGGAGGAAACAGGATGAATGGGCTTCATAAATATAAGATTAGGTAAAGTAAAATTACCTTAGTAGTACTCTTGCATCTTAATGAAATCCATGCTATGTTTCCATAGATATATATGGATATATCCATATATCCATGCCATCCATACTTTTCTGTCTATGGGGTATTCTACAATTGTACTTTGATACAATTGTATCAAATGTAGTTGATAAATACATTCATGTGTACCTACAAAAGTGAAGAGTAGTGATATATGTTTGTTTTATGAAGAAATAGGTTGATTGATAATGCCCTTTGTTCATTAACCTTGATTTATATATTACCACTTCTCCTACAAATTCTTTCTCATACACCTACTAGTAGTCTGGGCATGATGCAGAAGTCACTCTGGATAGAACAGAAATGCTGTCTGGTTTCTGAGAAAGGCTTTAGGTGTGTTTATGAAATAGTCACCCATTATCTCTGTATCTGATCCACCTGATTAATTATCAACCCCTTGTCTTCAAATATGTTGGATAATAATGCCCATCATCCCCAGATAATGTAAGCACTGGTTGTCCTTGACTATGAATTGGAATTTGGTCTTTTTAATCTTTTTGATACAGAATTTCTAGTCCACAACTAGAAATTAACTAGCTAAGCTACAGCTAAGCTCTAACCAGCTCTAGTTCACATGTTTCAGCTTGTTGAGAAAGTATTGCCTGATTTACAGGTAGAACTTCCTATACTTTGTTATACAGGTTTTTCTTATACCTTGTCTCCTGTAGTTGTAGGTCCCCACCTCTCTTTAATCTTCAGCTTTTCCACATTCTCTGAGATTCCCCATTTTGGAACAGTCATTCAGTTTCTTGATCTATACATTCATTTTTTTTTTTAATTGTAACAGGATTGTAAATTATCTCCTTAGTTTCAGATCACATTGTAACAGGGAGCTGCTTTCAGCCACGCTTCATAAGGAACGTGATACAGTGGCAGAATTCACATATAATGCTAGACTATAATGGCAGGTGTACACATTAAGCCCAAAACAAACAATCCAGGTCATATGCAAGTATATCCGGTGGTTCCCTAATACTTGATTGTATTCTGTATGCTTAAGGCCATTCACAAACAAGTCTCCATTTAATTATATTAAAAGGTAGACTAGAAGTAAATTACTTATGATTCTTCTTTTGGTTAAGTGGGAATTCCTACCATCATAACAAATTGCCCTATGCTGAATCACTTGGTCCATTTATCTCAGCTAGTCTGTGACCTGGATAAGCATCTTAGCATCCAGTATGTTTAGATTATAGTTTCCACAATCACTCACCATTCGTTTATGCTTCCTGCAGATATGGGAGTTGTCCAAGATATTTGAGAGTATCAGGTCGCCTATCTCATTTTTATATCAATAGGAAGCAGCCTTAGTTGGAGGCGTCCGGACTGAACCAGAGACATTCTCTGTGCAAACATGTGCTTTGCCACCAAAACATGTGAATTAGGATGTGTAACATGCTAATTAGCATGTGTCTTACTATGATCTTTTCCTGAACATTTAAGAGGAATATTTCTTTAGCAGAGTGTTAGAGAAAGCCTGCATGGTTTCTATCTGTATTATATTAACATAAAATTAAGGTTACCAAGTTGTTGTTTTAAGAATATGCTGTTTATTAGTTATATGCAACCATCTGGTAATTGGTACTAAAATAATGTATCATACATTTATTTTTAATGCTGTGATTTAAAAATAAGGCATTAAACATCTTTATTATCTTCAGAAAAACAATGTTTTGTGTGGCTTAAAAGTAAAAAGGCTTGTGTGGCTGCATTTTCAAAGACACTGAAAGTAATTTTTTTAAAGACCTTTTGCTTATCTGTGTCTAGAAAGTGTTCCTTTCCTCTCTGATCACCCCAAAGCATGACTTA